AAAGAGGGAGAACAGAATTAGAAAGTTCTGCCACCAGCAGCTGAAAGCAAGCTGAGTGTGGGACCTCTACTCTCACATCTTATAGAGGATGCAAACAAATGCCAATGGTCTCCAAAGTACTTGAAGGGCTGGAAAGACTTGGAGCAGTACAAGAAGTGGATTAAAAAAAGGGTGGTGCAAAGACAAGATCAAGTCAGGGCATCTTCCAGCCTCTCCCAAAGCCATCACCTCCCGCAGGTGGCTTGCAGAAGAATCTGAATATGGCATTTACCAATATACAAACATGCAGCTAAGGTAACCCAAATATGGTTTCCTTAGCAGAAATACTTTGTAGAAATGGTGCCTAAATAAAGGCTACAGGATTTCACCTGTGATGTAGCAGATACCAAGAAAAAGCAACATTACTGCAGGGGGTAATGCAACCCAAACTGCTCAACCTGTTCCAGCTATTTTTGAGAAAGGAAAACAGAAAAATGTTGGCTGGTCATTGTTTAAAAAAAAAAATATTTTTTTTTTAAAAGCTCCATTCTCCATCATCATTGAGCATGTTTTATTTTAAATTAAATTGGAATAAACAGCTAATATGAGATGAGTGAATTGTCCCACTTGATTTAGTCTCTTTTCATAGAGGAGACATTCTGCACCACTCATCAGGTTTGTTGCTCTTCCCCATACCTTTTCCAGGTTTACCATATCCTGGAGATGAGGGACAGAAACCACACACAGTGCTGGTGATGCGGACTGTGAAAGAGGTGTACATGGTGGCAGGAGGAGTGGCTTACAAGCAGGAAAGGGACAGAGCTGAAGGCTCCTTCAGAAAACAGGATTCTTTTCCTATTTCTGCTGCAAACATTTTATACAGCCCTGGTCTTATCACTTAGAGTAAGCTTTTCACAAGTGATCACTATTTTTACATGATACATTTTCTGAGTATCTAATGTGAGAACTGTAGCCAGATCTTCATCAGTGCTGAATTCTAACAAGTGCCTCCTGGTTGTGCTTTCCACATAGAGGAGGCTACAAACAGTACTCTGAAAAAACAGTCCCCAGATGTCTCAAGACAGACACTCAAAATGGATAGCTACTGTTAACAATTTTGGCTTTAATCTTTGTACATCGATGCTAAGGAGAACACGGCTTAAAAATGCCCATTTGGAAATGAACAGTTCTTTATTCATTGCATGCTCTGAACAACACACCCCGAATATGGCATAGGGCCACATCAAATGGGGATAACAAAAAGAAATAACAATCACTCATTCGCTGAATTCAGCAGAGGGCCTGTAGAAAATTTAATAAAGGGCCTCGTAAGGCTGTATTACAATGCCATAGCTCAAAACTGTATAGGCAGTCTTAATGCCCAATCTGTCAGAGCCTGTCCTGGCAACTCATACCCTCTTTAGATGCAAAGATGATATAGGTTAAATAGCAACAAATGAAGAGTGGGAGGGAGCTCTTTTGGGAACAGCCTGAAATACTTATTTTGTTCCTTTTCCTGGCTGAGGGCATTCAGTAACCATGACGCAGCCTCACGTTTGAAATCCTCTTGATGCCCAGGACCCAAAGCGTGACCCACTGATGAGTGGGCTACTGCAGCAGCTCAGGCCAGCTGCGCGGGAGCAGCCCAGCTCCTGCCAGCCAGGAATCAAACCGGTGCTGCAGGAAACTACCTCCCTGCACTTAGTTAATACCTGCCATTCACTTCTGGTTTAAAATAAAACATTGAAAAATACACACAGAATGCATGGGGGGATTTTTAAAAACTACAGTTCAAATCCTATCCGTGCTGGGTGAAACCCTGGCCCTGCTGAAGTCAGGAACATCCACCTGCCAAGATTTCACCTCTGCTTTTTATTTGTGTTTGTGCATGCATGTTTATCTCTCTGCCTGCCTTTCTCTCCTGCCTGGGTTTTTGTTCATTAAGCTTATTATTTTGCCTTTTTTTCCAGTTTGTAGGAAGTTCTTTTAAATCCTGTGCTGATATCTGTTTCACTTACAGGATTTTTCCCTCAGGATAAAGAATAATAGTTTGATTTGTGACACTGCGAGCCCTTAGGTACCAAAAGTTTATCACTTGATTTTTTTTCTAACTTGGAATCTAGCTGTGACAGGTAGAAGTATAGAATATATTCAGGCCATAGGAAAAAGGCTTTGCGGGTGTCGTGGTTTGACAGTGGGTGAGTGTTTTCAAGCCCTCAGGTCTTTCTCCAAAATCTCAGATTGTCAACCATGCCATGGCTCGTCAACAAGACAGATGCCCCAACCTTGAAAGCGATGCAGAAACGAACACAAAGGAAATAAAAGAATCTAGGCAAGTGACAACTAAGCTACCCACAAGTATCCAACCTCAAGGAAAATGCATACTAACTTACATTATGTTATGTAGATAAAATAAGATTTAGTGAATGCTAATTTTTCTCATCAGCATATCACAGAGTGCAGAGGCAATGCTAGAAATGGTGAGAACCTGTGTCTAAGTCCCTACTTCTCTCACAGAGAGCATCCTCTTAAACTTAATGGAAATGTAAATATAAAACATTCACTGCAATGAAAGTCTACAGAGATAGAGCCTAAGTAGCATGATTAGTATGGAAAATGCTTCGTAAAACCTAACTCCAATAATCTCTGGTAGCATAAAGGATTCATCTCATTACGACTTTCTAACAGAGCCTTGTTAATTCTCACTTCACTAATCTGCGACCTTGAAAATTCCCTCTCCACATTTCAGTACAGCGTTGACAGCTGAGTGAAACAGGGAGGTATTCCAGCAAGGGCTATAGGTGATGGAATATACTCCAAAACACTCACTAGTTTTAGATAAAATACTGTGCCTGATTAAATTAAATGAAATAACAAGCCTTTCACAAATTATCATCCAGCATTTTTATTTTGGCATTTAAAATAAATATCATAATCTATTCATTAATTTATCACATAGACTCTTTTGCAAGGCTGCTCCCAATTATAGGAATAAAAGGGGTTCTGCGTTATGGGTATTTCTCCTGACACATCTCTGAGATAAAGTATCTAATTTTGGAACTAGTTCCTACTGGCCGTAAGCTTTTCAGACTGCTATTAACAATAAAAATCTTGAAGTGCCTATACACACACATACATACACACACATATATATAAGTATATATATAGACACACACATGTTAGTACAGACTTGTAGGTGTACATCTCCTGGTACCACTAATGTGGCTGCATAGTTTACAGAAGACTTGCACAAACATAACTCTTCTTATAAGGTAGTTTGGGTAAGAATGCAAAATGACAGAACATAAGAAATTCTGCCCAGTTTTGTTCAAGCTTGAGAGCTGGCTTTGTCTCTACTGCCCTTGAGTGTATTTTGAAAAATGTTAAAAATCCCTTTAAACGTAAATATACCTTAAAAAATTATCCTTGTTTTTTCCAACACTAGGCAGACAGCAACTTACGCAATTTCTTACCAAAAAGGGACTACTGATCATAATTAGGCATTAAGATCTGAGTTGTTAATCACTTCACTACCATAGCTATAAAACCCAGAGAATAAAAACATTTGTTTGCCATTATGCAACAACCACCACGATCAAAGTTTTAATAAAACTACACTGTATTACTGCCTGTGAAATGCAGTAACATTTTGATGCAAAATGGATTAGTGCAGATGACATCATCAAGTGTTCCACATTTAATTCTCTTTCGTTATTAATTTTACATCATCTCTGGCAATAGTACTATTCCATTACTGCAAAGTATAGCTACATTTTATCAGTAAATAATTTTATCATTTTATCAGGGCTCCAAAAGGGCCCAAACTGAGACGTGTTTCAAAATGTACTCCTTTATACTCCTCCCTGCGTGGTTTACCAGTGAGCATACCGACACATGGGGTACCAGTGTGCCTGACTGCCTCTGAGATCTTACACGAAGGAGAGAAGAGCAGAGCACAGGGGCACCTTAGAGCCACGGAAAGTCCTTGGTGAAGCTGGCAGCAGTGTTCTGCCCTTTAAAACTGCCATGCATTACTATGCACTGGCTTTCTGTACATCACTTTCAGAGAAAACACCCCTCATACCCCCAGGCTGCTTCTATCCATCTGCACTCTCATGTGGAGGAGCCACCATTACCTCTCCCTAATCCTCAGCAGCGGAGCTCTGTCAGTGGGACGTCCATGGGGGAAGCAGGGAAAGGGCAGAAAAGACATGCTCCCCCCCATGCTTCCATGGGGGAAGCAGGGAAAGGGCAGAAAGGTAAGAATTTGTTTCAGATTTCACAACACTGATGTATTTGAGATAGTGGGTGGTACACCTGGGCTGTACTAGAAACAACGGCTCTAGGTGCAGAAGCACTGAAGCTGTCCGGCCATGGGGAGGAAGCACATTACACTGTATAACTGCACCTTGGCATGGGGAACCCACTGTTTGTTATAAAATTAAGGAAACAAAAATGTGTCATTTTCCTCCTCCGTATGAGTTCTGCAGCATGTCATTTTTTAGCTCCTGCCTATCCCATGCATTGAGAGCACATCTAACAAATACGTTAAGTTGGGACGTTTGAAGTGCATTTCCTATTCCCATTACTTTGATACTAATTTCTGTAAGGTTATGAAAGAGTCGTCTTGCAAGTTCTTTCCCTCCTCACACACAAGAGCTCTGCCCAGTTCCGTGGTGCAGAAGCAAAAAGCTTCTGTTATTCTAGTCAGAATTTCTCCCTTTAATAGTGTAGAAGAGCGTATCTTCTGCCTTCAAAGACGAAATTTCTTGAGCACCCATCACTTTGTTACTACAATCCAAGTTACAAACCTTTGAAAGTCATAAAAGTCTCAGTATATTTTAAATGTTTTACTTCTCAGCCAATTTAAAAAAAAAAAAGCCAGTATTTCTTTTCCCTAGAAGCTTTTCACGTGATGTTACGCAGTCTGACAAACTTTAAGATATTCTGAAAGAAGAAAAATGAAAAGGCAACCAAGCTTTATTTTAGAAATTAAAAGATAAGCTAGAAAATGAACATACCAACAGCCATCATGTAATCCCAGCGGTCTATGAGGCACATATTGAAGATCAGGTGGTCAGATGTTTGCCCTTGACCAATGAGTGGAATGTTTCTCTCCAAATTTTGGGTTATTGCAGAAGTCCAGCCAACAAGAAACCAAAAGACTATCAGGAGAATAACAGCCAGCATCCTCATCACTCGTCCACCTGTCATGTATGGAATACGCTGAGCAGTTCGGGACAGGAATACCTTCAAAACCCTGAAAAATTCAGACAGTGCAGAATTAAAAAGAGCACTAGCCGTCTCATAGGAATTAGACTTTCATTTTATTTCACCATCAGATTATTGAAAAAAATTATCAACGTTCTATCCCCTGACAGTATGTACAAGAGTGAAATTTGAAACATTATTACTTTCATATTCATCGTATTTAAATGGAACTGATTGCTGCCCAGAGAGTGCTACACAGCACTAACAGAAAATATTAGCTATGCTTATGTTAGAGGCATGCATTCACATGCTGTGTTGTCAAGCTGTTTTGTACCTTCCAGCTCCCCATGGAAGAATCCTGTCTTTGGAAAAGGGAAGGTCACTTCCATAAAATAGCAACCATGTGTGTGAGATTTCATTTTGTTTTGATGCTGTGTCTGCTTGTCCTGGTTTTGGCAGGGGTAGAGTTAATTTCCTTCCTAGTAGCTGGTACAGTGCTGTGTTTTGGATTTAGGATGAGAACAAAGTTGATAACGCACCGATGTTTTAGTTGTTGCTAAGTAGTGCTTACACTAG